TTTCCCTAAACTTCATTATCATCAGCTCACCTCCAAAAAACAATATGCATGAATAAAACTAAAGGCATCCTTCCAATCACTCTTGTGGCCAACATTTCCAATTTTTTTTCCAAGATTGTCTACAGTGGACATGCGAGAATACATGTGGTACAGGCTTTTAAGAACATAACAGAACAAATTAGAGAAGTGTATGTTCCCATTATTCACTTCAAAACTGAAAACAATAGGAATTATTTACTATTTATGAATTCTAAAGACAGCACCATACAACTGACCTACGAAATTCACTGATATAAGCAAAGGCAGGGCTGTACAATTCTACAGGAAGCCTCAAGGAGATACCACACAGCTACAGAGATGTGTCCATTTGTTTTTCTACGTGGTATCGCCATCACCATTCTTCCCAACACTAGGTAGCTGCCAACTGATCGGAATTAGACAGATACACTGCTCCGAGGACAGTTATTTCACAATGTAACCAAGATGAGTTTTCCTACATCTTTCTCTGAAGCATCCTCTGCTCACCTTGCTCTGACATATGAACACCTGCCTGGTACCCAACAGTAGTTCCAAAGTTCCTGCCAACATCCTTATGACACTGTGCTAACACATGCACGTCCCTCAGAGCCCCTGAGGGCTACTACTGAGGGCTGACTACTGGCGTGTCAGGTATTGATTCCACCCAAAGCCAAGATAACATCAGGCTCTAAGCATCTGAGATGTTCAATGCAAAGTTTGGGGCCATGTGCATTCCAGGAATTAAAAAATCAAACCAGCGCCCCACAGATTTTTAAGCTCCTGACGCAAATGCAGCCAACTCTCAGTTATGGGTTAGAGAGGGAGCACAAGGAGGAACATTCCCGCATTGGTACCGTAGGTCTCGGTGGTGATCCGGCGTTGGGCGTAGGTGGCCAGCCCCTCGCTCAGCCACATCTCCTCCCATGTAGCGTTGGTGACTGCGTTTCCAAACCAGCTGTGGGCAACTTCGTGAATGACGTCAATGATCAAAAACTCATCGCTCTCCAGAATGGAAGAGATGATGAAGGTCAGGCAGGGGTTTTCCATGGCAACAATAGGGAAGGATGGAGGAAGAAAAACAATGTCGTATCTAAAATTAGGGAGAGAGAAGAAAGAAGGGAGGAGAAAGAAGATATTTTGAAAGACATACACAGAACCTTTCTTTCTTTAGGGAAGGCTCTTCTGAGATTTTTTTTGTCACTTAAGGAACAAAGTTCTAGACCAGTGGTGCCCAATTCTTCTGATCAGGGGATCACAGAGTTTATTGTCTTGGCTAGGGACCTGCTCACATTCGGATGTAAAGACCAGTCAGCCTTCACACGCGCAGCATGCTGATCCAGCACTGCCTGGGAGCATCATGCTCCCTTCACACACACAAATTCGTATCAAGTTGTTTATGTGAGAGCCAGAACCACTAAGTTTACTCTACATATACTATCACGTAGAGTGTTGAGTCCACAGGTTCCCAGGAAAGAGAGAGGCTGGGAAGCCACTGAATTCATTAATTGATTCACAGTGTCAGCAAAACAATTCTAGTCTGCTTCAGAACGTAACAATACTGTTTGGGTTGTTTTCTAAATTTCTCCACTAATGATTAGCACTAGCACATCAGTCCTTGTTCTTGGATTATTTCAAGCAACATTTTGCAAGTTAACAGCAATAACAAATTCTTCCTGCTTACCTTCAGCAAAGAAATTTACAGGGGGCCTTTGCAAACATTTTCTCCTATCCAAAGAATGAAAGCATTCTCTCAAAAACATTGTCTTTTAATACACAGTGAAGCTTAATTTCAGAAACTATTAATGTTTTTAGGGTCTAGGACTCTCAGTGAGTCTGTACCAAGTCAGGTCTTCAGCATCCTCAGGAATACCACAGGAAATGTATCATATGTCAAGTACCATATGTAAAAATAAATACATGCATTGAAAACCACCATACTTTTTAAATGGTGCCTGGCCCAACGTTGGACTTGCATCACAAAACACTGTAGTATGAAAAATCTCCACTCACCAGTGAAGATCCACTGTTTAGAAACCTCCAGTTCTGCCCACTATACCTGGCAAAACACCATCGTGCCTCCATGGTCCTCTCTGCCACTTGCAGAGACAAAACTCCAGTTTGTTTCCAGCTACTACAGTGCTGCCAGTTGAGAGTCTCATCTGTCCTGCTATTGTCAGCTACCGTAGGTAGAAAGCATTCTCATTTCTCAAGATTGTTTTATTTTGTTCCCATTACACATTCCTGAGAGACTTATTAAACTCACCTTCCCCATATGTATGGGCCATACAGACTCTCTGCAGCAGTCAACCAGCGCTCAACAATGCCAGAAAGCTTGCTGATGGCTGTTGGCAGCAGGCAAGGCTCTGCCCACACTCTGCTCCTGTAGGAAAACAGAAAACATCAGGTGATACTTCAGCAAACTGAATTATCTCGTAGAAAAAATAGCCTGACTTCTCACCACACTTCCATGTATGGTAATAGTGCTAAGAGGCCTCATATCAGACTGAGATCTTGTTTAGGCTGACACTATGGATATATGGCAAGAGGTAATCAAAGATCCCTGAAATCAGGCATTGAGACAAGTAGCTGTAATGACTACAGGGACAATAAGCAGGAAAATATCAGTACCATGAATTTCTTTACACCCAGCTAAACCTCAAACTCTCTGAACATTCACAGCTCATGGTCCCAACTGTTGCCTTATCAAAAACTCGACACATTAACTACTTGCTACACAAAGCACTGTACAGAGACATAAAAAACAGAATCAACTCATTGCAAATCTTACCTTGGACCTATGTCTGCATGTGTAAGGTCTCCTGCCACCAGGGCCACTAGGTAGGCAGGAACTGGATATTCCATGTAAAACTGATATACACCTTCCTCTTCCAAGTAGGTACTTTGGGTGGCACTCATCAACACCTGTATGCCCGCTGGAGCCTGGAAGATCAACACCATACACACCAACTCGCTAGATGATCACAGCTAAATGACTACACCACAGATCTCGCTGGGATTTGTCATCTGTGCCCAGGGATGTACTTTAAAAATAAACATGTAGATAACACAAAAGTTTAAGATTTCTGTGAGGTTTTTATACCACAATCTGCCCAGCCCGTGATAACATATCAGCCAAAAATATTACGCCTCTTACACTGCATGGGTTCTTAAGTCAGCTGCACCAGGAGTGCCCACATATCAAATTATTTCATCTACACAGAACACAACATTATTTGACACTGCTTTCATAAAACTTGAGTTTTTTCCTTCCAAGAATTGATAAAAGTTGAGTATTGTCATCAATAACCACTACCAGAAGCGATCAGCCAAATTCTCTCTTTCATATTATCTATTTCATGGCTACTCTTTCAGTGCTGAGTAAGGGGAAGGCAAGACTCGAGCATCATAGGCAACAGAGTTGCTCTCTGGCCCAAGAACCAGAGCGGGCTCTAAAACAAAATCTTTTTGTAACACTGATTATCACAATTAATACTACAATGGAACTGTGCTTTCACAAGCTAGCAGTAGCTAAGTGCTGCACGAACGACTCGGAGCCGTTCGGTCACGTACCTTGACAGTGGCTGAGTAGGTGCATTTCACTGCTGGTGTGTCAAAGCAGGGTAAGAAAGGGCGGTTACACACTGAGTGACCCTGGGTGAAGACAAAAGGCTTGGCGTTGCCGTACGTCAGTTCGGGATCCAGCCACCAGATCTGTTGAAACATAATGGGAAGAAGAGGTGAGGGGAAGGTGCAGGATCCCAAGGACAAACTGGCAAAAAAACCAAACGTGAAATCAAGAGGATTGAGAGGCGAGAAGAAACACCTCAGCCATACAGTTCCCTGGATGAATACCTGGCACAAGGCACGTCTCCATTTCTAACAAGACATCTTTCGACTCCTGTTTATTTGCTGTGACTATTCTGAGTAATCTCTTACTGTCCAAATATTGACTGGTGCCACACAGCGTAGTGTCTTCCCGCCACTCAGGACTTCTGTTGTATCAGTTTGTTTGGCTAATAACAAGTCCCTAACAAACATCCACATAACCTTCTTCTCAGAGAGCACTCTGAATATCTTCTCATTTTTAAATCAACATGAACAGGAGCAGTAGGGGTCAAGTAATGCAAACTAGGGAAAAAAAAAAACACAACAACAAAAAAACCAACCAGAATAAACCCAAAAAGTAAAAAACCCTGAGGCTGAGCAGTGTACACAATATTATCTCTGACCCTGACACTGTCCTGCTGGCTGAAGCATCAAACATTTTGACACTGTGCAAGAAAGTCAGTATATGTAAGAAACATCTGGTCAATGACACTGGAGGCCTCTTTCTACAGAGCAGATGATAAGATTATGGGTGGTCACAAAAAATCAAAAACACAACAATAAACATCACTGAGCATGTCAATTTTCAGTATCAAACAGCAAATAAATCATGAGTTGGACCCTCAGCAAATAATTAGAACAGATGAAGAATAAGATCAAAAAGTGCAGTTAATTGCCTTTTTGGTTTTTCTGTTTTAAATGCAATGTTTATGCTTTCACATGCTCCCTGCCTCCAACTTTGAAGTGTAGGAACAATTTAAAATAAGAATTCACTTGCAATTCTAGAACTCTAGAGCTGAACTTTTACAGAAAATATCAAATATTGTGAAACTTGCAATAAATTTGGAACCCCTGGAAGTCTTGGGAACAGTTAAGCACAAGGAACAAGGCTTCCAAGTCTGCTGAATTCTTACATCAAAGCAACCAATAAATCTGAATTCGGGAAATAGCATTTAGTGCAGACACTACTAAGGTTCTGGTCCTCACGAGAAAGCAACGAAATACTTACAAAAGAGAAGCCTGGGTACTATGTCTGCTCTCCTTTAACAACCTGTTACAGTTCTGTCTCCTAATTAACCTCTCTGTGGTCCGGAAGTCAAAGTTTTCTCCCTCTGTCCTACAGGGTTACTCTATCTTCTTCCCTGGCCTTTAGATCTTTTTCCTCAGACATTCTTCTCCCAAATCATCCACGCCAGCTGCACCCTTGAGGATCAGTGAAAGGTAAGGAAAGGAAACAGACTGTCAGCAGCTTTTAGTTATTCATATAAAGATTCATGCTTCTGCTGGCAAATGTGTTGGTTGTTGGTTTTTTTTAGGTGGGAGGCATTACAAAATTAAACCCCTTTATCTAGAAGTAAAATAAAACTCCAAGCAGCATTCTTACTTTGAAATTTAAGATTATTCTCTTCTGTTTCAAGTCTGCTGGGCCTGAAACGTGCTTAAAGCATGACTTCAGATGAACCTTGCCTCGCTCACACGAGGGCTCAGGCAATGCAACTGCTCAAATCCACGTGCTGCATTTCAGCGTATCACTGGCCAAATCCCTCGGTCACAGCTGAGGTGCACTCCATAGCCGCAGATTTCCACACCACGCGGATACCTGCATTTCACAGCAATGAATATCGTCTCTGCAATGTGACATTGTGGAACCGGAGACAACTATTCCAGAAGGCATTTGGAGGCACGTCTCACTGAAACCCACAGCTTGAAATAAACAGCTTTCACCTTGCACACACATAAAAATACAAGTGATGTGTTTGAATCCAGGGTAGTAGTTTTCTAATGATCCAGGAAGGAGGCTCAAAATTAAGGTTTTAAAGATCTGCCACAATGCCAACTTTAAAACACTCCCCTGATCAGTGGCTTTGTGCTCGTATCACAAAAACTCAGATTAATGATCCGTATTGTTGGCCTTGCCAAAGAGACTCACCTTTCTGTTTCCTTTGCTTTTTGAGAGACAAAAAAGGCTAACAAAGAAAACAAGATAAGACACTACCAGCCCTAAGTTGCAACACTTGAGTAGGAAGGAAAAAGACGATGTCTTAGAGGAGAGAGATAAGGGGAAGTTCTCCCTGACCAGCACAGGAAGAAAACATAAGCAGGAAGCAAAGGGAAACTAAGAAGCTGATTCTTGTTTACAAGAAACTACATAAATTAAGGATAATTTCTTTCCAACCAGTCCCCCTTTATTTGACATTTGGTTGAAGTTCAGTGAAGCACCAGACCTACAGGCCAAGATGGAAAACATTTGCCACAGGATGAAGTATTTTTTCCCCCCTGTTTCCTAATGTCTGCAGCTACACAGTCAACCTCCATCTCTCTCTCCAGATGCACTTGGAACAATGATGAAAGTTATCCTGAAACAATATAAATAGATCTGTCATATAAATAGACCAGGCTATGCTGCCGGACAGAGGCAGGGCTATGGACTGGGGAAAATGAGTGTGAGCAGCATCCCAGAAAGAAGTGCGAGGAGCCGGGTACTGCCAGGGCAGGGGGTGGAGCAGAACCCAGGGACAGAGCAGTACTTGGGGCCATACTATCTACTCTGCATCCAAATCCCCCCGGTGCTCCCCCTCGGAAAGAGATGTGACGTCATCATAATGCTCATCAATTTTATCTAGTTTTTCATGTATGTGGGAGAGCTGTTTCACACATTAAAACTGTTCTATGATGCATTTCAAGTAAAAAAAAAACCACCAAACCTGCTGCTTAGCTTCTAAGCTGAACAGATGATTTGGGCAGTCCAGGTTTTCCCCTGCCCACATACCGCAAAGAAGCTCACACTTCATAAGGCACCTGCCAAGAATATAATTTTTATTGACTTAGATTGTAATCTTTTGCCCAAATCCGGAAAATGACAAAGGCAATTAGCTAAGCCTCTTTCACTTTTAAATCTCTCCATGTTTCTACCTGTGTTATTGAAGAAGCTCCCGAGAAGAGCTGTAGCACTGTAGCTTCTGTTCTAGACAAACAACAAGCCGCTCCATCCGATGACGACAAAGTAAACCGCACATCCGAGAGGCAGAGGATGTGACAGCAGCAAGGCTCACCTGGACAGCACGGCACTCTAGGAGGGCTGAAGAATCAGGACAAATCTAATGGAAGTTTCCAGCACTGCAAATAGGGCTGTCCTTTTTGGTAAATCCTGAAGAAGAGTGAATGCTATCATTTTTTTATAACAGAATGCAGAGCAGGGTTTGCATTTAAGGTTGCCATGGAAAGAAAATAGCACTGGTGTTAATGTGTGTGCTGCCAAATCAGAGGTGTGACACAGTGGGCAAGTGACAGATGTAGATGTTTCTCTCTAGGGGGAAAAAAAAAGAACTTGTGAAAGAGTATTCGTAGAACCAAGAAGTAAAAGGGGTGAGGGAAAAATTCCTCAGAGCAGGATTACCACCACTGACACACCTGGTCAGTGGGCGCCTTCACCCTCCACACCGTGACACACACACCACGTTTAGGACAGTCTTGCATCTGATGTGAACCAGTGATGTACCAACGCAACTGATTTCCTAATGGCACAGGGAGCTGGAACGCTCTCTGAAAGGCAGCTTTAATCTCTCAGCTGTCTCTCAATGTCCATCAAACAACCAAAGATCTTGGCTCCTTCCTCTGCAGGAGAAATAATGGGACGGTCGAACAACATAACCAGATGGCTCAAACCAAGTCTAACAAGGCAACAGGTTTCCAATTTTAAACAGACGACTGTCTGCACTGCTGATCTTACTGCCAACACTCCCATGCTGCACTCTAACATGACTTTACTGTTTTGTAAGTCCCACAAGTATGCTAAAGGTCCCACAGAAAATATACCCTGACCTAAAAAGATTATATTCTGAGAAAGGGCAAAGACAATAGAACTTTTAGAAAAGAGAGATCTCATACTGTAAAGCTGCTTCACTTAGAGAAAAGGGGCTGCACGGAAACGTACTAGACATGAGTATAAACCAGTTTGCTCTTATACAAGTAGAGGTTACTCATCCCTACTAAAATGCAATGCCAGGCTGAAAAAGAGCAATGACCGATAGCACTACAATAGCTCGAAATGACTTTGGATCCAAAAAAAATAGTTCAGCGTGCTGAACATGAAGGGCTAGAACAGGTGCTACTCGAGGACAAATATTTAGCCAGCCAAAACCTACAATAGTGAGCGTGGAAGCGTGGTACGATTTATGTCAGTGAGCACGCCTGCTTCTACTTTTCAGTATCACTTGAAAAGGGCAGTGCATGCCCCTGACAGTGTAACCATCAATAATCTTCTGACACTAGTCCTTGTACCTTCGTTTCCACTGAAGCAGTACACACTATTAAAGGTACAGTAAAGACTTCAAAAAACAAGATGATGAATAGCTAGCTTGCGTCTGATCCAGGGGAAGCAAGACAAACAACTGAGGGAATAGAAAAAATGCCCCACTCTCAGCATCTTCAATCAGGGAATATTCCCGCTGGACTGTGTGCAGAGCCAAGGAGGCAGCACTAATGCAAGGGGAGGCTTCGGATAACTTCTAAAGCTGAGTCTCAGGCTGCCACTCCGTTACATCTCTGAGATCATTTCTCCATAGACACCGCAGGACAGTCTGCCCCTTTGGCAATAGGGCTGGCAAAACGCAGGAGAAAGCACAGGCTAGCCTAAAATAAAACCTTTTGTTCAAGAGGAGGAAAGTATGTTATCGTGTACTTTGGGAGGTATGGCTCAGCCCGACTGATAATGATTATAGAGCACGCAGCAACGCCGAATTGGCTTTAAAGCCTTCCCACCTCAAACAAGGCACAGAGTGGTCAAAATGAACAGGCTTCTTCATGAAATCTTAAAGAAAAATAAAGAACAGAATCTTCTGAACACATTGTTGCCATGAAAGACACCTCCCATGTACCCCTTCAGTGCAGAAAATCTA